AAGATTACCATACGTTCAAAGTACATATTAAAATTTGCAATATTTTACGTAGTGTAACGTAATCATTTTCTTTGGTATTTACCCGTCTAGGGGCGGAAAAGAATAACCTACTGCAGAAACACTGCATGTCGTAAGATCCGACTAATGAACTGCGGACAAAAATTTCATTAGTTCACATCGACAATTGAAAGTGAAATCATGAAATTACTGTTGCTAATATTAATTGGACTGGCCGTCGTTGCCTCAGAGGTACCATGGCTGTTTTAATTTGAAATCGATATTTTACTTATATACAGTGAGTTTTTTTTAATTGCGAACATAGGAGTTTGCATGCAATGTAATTTCCCTATGTTCGATTTAAAAAAAACACATCAATCTATGAGGTGTGCGCGGTTCACATTCCCAAATCGCGCAACTTGTGTGACTATGAACAGCAACTCTAATAGTCTTTATGATGAAGAGCACTCGGTAAGATTTTTTTAAAGAAGTCATGTGAGGCCATGGCAACTTTAGGATACATTTTTCTTAAACTTACGATAACTTGACGTCACAGGCCACTCACTGACACCACAATTCATTGTGAACCAACCTTCAATTATTTGTAGGTCATGTGCACCTGGTATTCTATTGATCTATTCAATACATAAATGAAGAAAATAAGAAAATAAATACCGAAAACAATTACAATAAATGTTCGAAGTGTCCCCCTTGACATTCTAAGCAATAACTTAACCGATTTCGTAATTAAATTGGACGGCGGTATTTTTAAAAATGTGACAGCTGTCAATTGTATCTACTACTCATTTGAACTACTCAATAGATTGAGGTGTTTTTTTTAAAATCGAACATAGGGAAATTACATTATATGCAAATTCCTATGTTCGCATTTAAAAAAAATTCACTGTATAACTTTTTAGGTATCCGATGACATAATCGAAAAGTGGGAAAACAAGATATCTACGTTCAAAGACAAATGTCTAAACGCGCATGGAGCAGACAGCGAGGTTATTCATGGCATTACTAAACATTTGAAATTTGCGGATCATGATCAAGGTATAAAATGCTATTACAAATGCATATACCTCGACCTCGACGTCTTCGATTCAAACGGTCACTTCAGTGCAGAAAAATTCGTAAAAACGATGCCGTGGGTTGCACATGAATCTGTCTCCAAATGCGCGACCCAGACAGAATCTGAGCATGACGACAAGTGCGAGAAATCTTATCAAATGGCGAAATGTATTTGAAATGATCTCTCCACCTGAAATTCAACATTACTATTACTTTTACCATCGAATATTATTCAATGCTTTTGCTAAAAGTTGGATATAACACATAAGATATAGGTAGAATTTATATTTATAGTTTTATTTAAACCGACTCGAACAGCGTGCTTATTACATAAGGTGAGTTCGCCAAATATATACAAATACAAAACCCCTCAGAATTTAGTAGCTATAAATGCAGTATCCTTTGCTAGTAAATTGCCCTACAGTATTTTATTGTATGAGAGTTGTGTCTACGGCAGGAACCCACATAGCAGACCTACATTGCATATAACATGTACATTCCACGTGGGATTTTGTATATCCATAGAATGTGGAAAAGTATGTCGCAAATGTCCGATGTATGTGCATAGGATATAAGTTTGGCAGATTTCACATAATACATAGTATATACGTTTTGGATGTCTTCTGTATATGCATGTAAAGGGTGATCAAATAAGAGCCTCCGAAAGTTTTTTGAAATAAAACGCATTAAATTCAATTTAATAATCAAAAATTGTATTTGATACGTAAGTTCTGTTCATGACATTTAATGTTTAAAAATAATTTGTTTTAAATGTTGACCGTGACTGACTCGTAGATGTTCCATTGTATGGGTCCAGTTTTCAAGCGCTCTTTCGAGCATTTCGGCCAAAATTTCATTAATTACACGTGTTATGTGTTCGCTTCTAATGCAGGAATAGTTTGTGGTTTATCGGCATAAACAAGTGATTTGAGATAACCCCATAAAAAGTAATCTAACGGCGTTTCATCACATGATCTTGGTGGCCAATTCACTGCTCCATTTCTTGATATGATGTTCGAATCAAAAGTTTCTTTCAATAAATCGATAGTTTCGTGTGCTGTATGGCACGTCGTACCATCTTGTTAAAATCATAAGTCGGCTACATCAATATCTTGAATGTTTGGCAACAATTTTTTAATTGTGCGTTCAGTTGAACGATTATGAGCACCATAAAATGGTTGAAGAGCACGAAAAACATTTCTCTCTGAACACTGATTTTGGAAATAAATTTCCACGAATTGTTATCGTTGTTCTGATGTAAGTCTATTCATGGTGAAATGTCAACTAATAATGAACAAAAAACACATATGCACATGACAGCTATCTTGATTAAAGTATTTTAAAATCCCTATTGGAAAAGGTACTTCGTATTTGATCACCCGTTATATGCATCAGACATGCTGTGTATACTGACAACTGGATATACCATGAATATTCCTGTAATATGCAAAGATGTTTAATAGGATATGTTGTACATCCAGAATCGATGTTCTATAGAGATTCCTCTAACATTCGGGCAAAATGGCTTTATGAGAGGCAGATCGACTGATACAGCTTTATGTCAATATATTGCAGAAGCGGTTTCTGCAGTTGACAAGCGTCTTTTAACTGTTGGTTTATTTATTGACTTTTCGGCTGCTTTTGATACTGTTGACCACAAGAAATTAATTAGCAAAATGTTTCAATGCGGCATTCGAGGTACTACTCTCAATTTGTTTGAATCCTATCTTAGAGATAGAACGCAATTCGTTGAATTACCTCAGGGTCAGCGTGGTTTGTCTAAGCCCATTTTAACAGGAGTTCCTCAAGGCTCAATTCTCGGTCCGACGCTATTTATTCTTTACAGCAATGACCTGGTTTCGTATCTGAAAGAGGGCGATGATGGCGATTCTACATTTATTACATCATATGCTGATGACACAAATATATTAATTAAATCACGTTGTATAATGTCTTTGAAATTGCAAATAAAGCTCACGCTAGATAAATTAAGCACATGGTGCAGCAACAATAATATCATACTTAACGCTGCCAAAACTACTGTGATTCCGTTTGGCTTAAAAAAATATGATTTAAATGAATTCACGTGCTGTAAGACAACCAAAATGCTTGGGCTTACTGTAAGTTCTGACTTGGGTTGGTTTGCTCACATTGACACTGTCTGCAAATCACTTAGAAACTGTTGCTATTCTTTAAGCGTTCTTAAGAAGCTATGCAACAAATCAACGTTACTGACTTTGTACCACGCCAACTTTCACTCTCATATTCGGTACAATATATGTACTTGGGGTGGCAGTACTCACGTTCAGCGCATACTTGTTCTGCAAAAACGCGCTATTAGAATTATATGCTCTTTACCTTTCAATACGTCGTGCAGACCGATTTTCAAAGAATTAAGGATATTGACGGTAATAGACACCTACATTCTGGAGATATGTTGCTTAGGGTTTAGAAAGAAATCGTTTTTTTTTAATCCTGAACATGTTTACAACACTCGACAGAAGATGTACTTAAACCCTGGCAAACACAGATCATCATTGTTTCAAAAAAATTTAACGTTTCGAACGTGTCAAATTTTTAATGCACTACCGCCAAATATTAAGGCCATTAAAACCTACCAAAAATTTAGATTTGCATTAAAACAATTTCTAGTAGAAAAAGCGTACTATCACCTAAATGAATACTTAAACATTTGAAACCTTTTAAAATATTTATTGCATGTTCGTCACAATTTTAGAATGTATCTTTTAATGTGTTTTTTAAATGTGTCGGTTTGTTTTAATATGTTATACATTTTGTAATTTTAGTATTTGTGCTAAGTTTATTGTTTGTATGTATTAGGGACATGGTGTTGCCACCTACTATAAGGTAAAGCAACAACGAATAAATAAATGAAATGAAATGAAATGAAGTGAATTCTTTCCTCTGAGTGAAGCTAACGTGTGTAACGTCGGTAATACAGAAAACGCATGTATCTAATCCAAAACGTATATACATATCATATATTCCCATGTATGTACATAGAAGATCCTCAGAGGAGTATAAGATATATACATAAAAGATACATACAATGTGTGTGCCTAAACATCCATATCACATCCAAAACGTATATTTATAAAATATCCATACTGGACATAAAATACATATGTATACAATGAATATACATAGTATATACATAACATGGACAGGATATTCCCTGTACATTATGGATTTAAAATGTATATACATAAGATATTGAATGCTACGTATGTGGGAAGTACCATCTTTACTTATACCAAAGAGTAAACTTTGATTTATAAATGCCAAGAACGTAGAATTTTCTGTTGTGGAATATGGATTGTTTTTTTCCACGTTTATTGTCAATTTGTCATAATAGAAGATTTAGAATTTTCTTATTAATTGCCTAGGCAGATTGTTACACGTTTAGTTGGAAACCACCTTAGAATTTTTTTAATTTGGCACACAAAATTTATATATGGACGCACTAGGTTTCATTTCAATAATTTTAGTAAATAGCAAGTTATGTACTAAAGATTATCATATATTAAATGACGTCGGCGTCCTGTTTTAACCAGCATATACTCATTCCCTAACATGAGATAAATTATGGAATTGACGATTCAGATAAAACACATTTTTATATTTAGACTTTCAAAGTGAGGTGACTAAACCGTTTACTCCAACAACAAATTACGAAAGAAGGTTTTAAAATCTTATCCGAGACTGGTTATCAAAGGTGACATCCGAAGTATTATAAATACCTACGCTAATGTTACGGAGTACAGGGTTATCGGTTCTCTTCTAATGGGAGCCCGTTTAGGGGTCAAGGGGTCTTTATTATTTTTTGCTTTGGATTTTCTTTATTCCTCACCTAATTTTGTGGGTATGACCAGGTGTTTGGCGTATAAAAGGCTACTAATCTACTGTGGACTGACAAAGACGAGCGTTAGGAAGATGGATAGTTTAGTGATGAGATATTCGATTCTAATAAATTGAGTATTCTAATCAAATGATAATAATTATCATAATATATACAATAAATAACAAACTATAAATATTGACTCTCTTAAAAATTTTAGTAGTGTACATCCACAATTGAAAGTAAAATCATGAAATTACTATTACTAATACTAATTGGGCTAGCGGTGGTTGCCTCAGAGGTACGATAAATGTTTAAACTTCAAATAGGTATTTTACATGTCACTTTTTAGGTCTCCGATGAAATAATCGAAAAGTGGGAAAATAAGATATCTGGATTCAAGGATAAATGCCTAACCGCACACGGAGCAGATAAGGAGATTATTCACAACATTAATAAACATTTAAAATTTGAGGACCATGATGAAGGTACAAAATGCTTCTATAAGTGCATATATAAGGAGTGCGGCCTCTTCGATTCAAATGGACAGTTCAATGCGGGAAAGTTCGTACAAACGTATCCGTGGGTTACACACAAATCTGCCTCCAAATGTGCGGCGAAGACAGAATCTGAGCATGACGACAATTGCGAGAAATCTTTTCAAATGGCGAAATGTATTTTAACTGATCTTGCCGCCTGAATATTCAACATTTAAATTGTAAAAGAACGGAATTGTATGGTATTACTAAAAGTTGAATACCGGATATAAAACAAAATACATAAGATATAGAATGTATAGTTTTATTTAAGGTGCAGTTTACAAACAGTACGATCAAATTATGGTTACTCTTTGGTACGATTTCCTCAATAACTTTTCTTCGCGGTAACAAAAATGAACTTCTGTTAACGAGCGAGTCATTTATGTTGAAATATATTTTTTAATACAAACGCTTCTTCCCTATTTAAATTTTACGGGTTGCTTCGACCCCCATTAGAGGGTTGATATAATTTCATGTATGACCAGCCTATAAAATGTCCCCCCTTCAAAATAAAGTTCAGGTGTGTTTTGTTTTTCCGTGGATCTTTTCTTTCGGCTAATATATTTGGGGTGATACCTTTTTAAATTGACACACTGATATATAAACATAGTGGGACAAAGTTATCGGTATTTCTTCGGGTTTTAAGGTTTTCCTTGTCGTAGGGTGTCGGTTCCAATTTAATCCGCCAAAAAATTGTTGCATTTCAGTAAATAGGTATACACTAAAGATCAAAGATTAGCATACGTTCAAAGTACATATTAAAATATGCAATATTTAACGTAGTGCAGCACCCGTGTAGGGGCGGAAAAGAATAACCTACTGCAGAAACACTGCATGTTGTAAGAGCCGACTAATCAACTGTGGACTGACCAACGACGAACCTTTAGGAAAAGAAATAGTTATTGTGGTGTGAGATATGCAAGCAAATATATTAAGCAATTTTAACAATGTAAAAACATATTTCTATAAATAAAAGGAAACATTGATAACGTTATAAAAACTAGTTTGATACAGAACTATAAATATCTACACCTTTCAAAATTTCATTAGTTCATATCGACAATTGAAAGTGAAATCATGAAATTACTGTTGCTAATATTAATTGGACTGGCCGTCGTTGCCTCAAAGGTACCATGACTGTTTTAATTTGAAATCGATATTTTACTTATATATAACTTTTTAGGTATCCGATGACATAATCGAAAAGTGGGAAAACAAGATATCTGCGTTCAAAGACAAATGTCTAAAGGCGCATGGAGCAGATAGCGAAGTTATTCATAGCATTATTAAACATTTGAAATTTGCGGACCATGATCAAGGTACAAAATGCTTTTACAAGTGCATATACCTCGACCTCGACGTCTTCGATTCAAACGGTCACTTCAGTGCAGAAAAATTCGTAAAAACGATGCCGTGGCTTGCACAGGAATCTGCCTCCAAATGCGCGACCCAGACAGAATCTGAGCATGACGACAAGTGCGAGAAATCTTATCAAATGGCGAAATGTATTTTAAATGATCTCTCCGCCTGAAATTCAACATTACTATTACCATAATATGCTATTATTAAAAGTTGGATATAATACATAAGATGTAGAATTTATATTTATAGTTTTATTTAACAACCGACTCGAACAGCGTGCTTAAAACACAAATTAAATAACATAAGGTGAGTTCGCAAAATATATACAAAACCCCTCAGAATTTAGTAGCTATAAATGCAGTATCCTTTGCTCGTAAATTGCCCTACAGTATTTCAAAACGTAGAATTTTCTGTTGTGGAATATGGCATGTTTTTTTCCACGTTTATTGTCAATTTGTCATAATAGAAGATTTAGAACTTTCTTATTAATTGCCTAGGCAGATTGTTACACGTTTGGTTGGAAACCACCTTAGAATTTTTAAATTTATATATGGACCCACTAGGTTTCATGTCAATACGACTACAGCCGATGTCAATGTAAACCCCCCAAAAATTCTTGGATTTTAGTAAATAGCAAGTTATGTACTAAAGATTATCATATATTAAATGACGTTGGCGTCGTGTTTTAACCAACATAATATAGGTACTCATCATTCCTTAACATGAGATAAATTATGAAATTGACGATTCAGATAAAACACATTTTTATATTTTTCGTAGACTTTCAAAGGGAGGTGACTAAACCATTTACTCCAACAACAAATTACGAAAGAAGGTTTTAAACTAATCCGAGACTAGGGTTATCAAAGGTGGCGTCTAAAGTATTAAAATACGCTATTGTTACGTAGTGCAACAGGGTTATCGGTTCTCTTCTAACAGAAGGGGTCAAGACTTCAAGAGATCTTTATTGTTTTTTGCTTTGGATTTTCTTTATTCCTCACCTAATTTTGTGGGTATGACCAGGTGTTTGGTGTGTAAAATGCGGCTAATCTACTGCTAATCTACTACACGCAATAGCATTGGCATTAAGCTCTTCAACAACCTCCCCAGCACCACGAGAAATATAAAGACTTTCAGGGAATTCAGGTTGAAATTAAAAAAGTAATTAGTACAAAATGCAATCTATAAAATCGATGAATTCGTAAACATCTGCAAATAAATTTATTTACTTTTTAATTTAAATTGGTAAATTGCAACTATGTAATCTTGTTCTTTTACTGTCTTGACTAGCCCTTACACAATGTTAGGTAATCCATTGTCAAAAGGTAACAATAAAGACTGAATTAATAAAAATTGAAAAATTGAATTGAATTGAATTAGACTGACAAACGACGAGCGAGCGTAAGGAAGATGGATAGTTTAGTGTGAGATATTCGATTCTAATAAATTGAGCAACCTAATCAAATGATAATAATTATCATAATATATAAAATAAAAATAAATAACTGTACTAAATGAAAGGACACATTTATAACATTATGAACTATAAATATCGACTCTCTTCAAAATTTTAGTAGTGTACATCCACAATTGAAAGTGAAATCATGAAATTACTATTACTAATACTAATTGGGCTAGCGGTGGTTGCCTCAAAGGTACGATAAATGTTTAAACTCAAATATAGATATTTTACATGTCACTTTTTAGGTCTCCGATGAAATAATCGAAAAGTGGGAAAATAAGATATCTGGATTCAAGGATAAATGCCTAACCGCACACGGAGCAGATAAGGAGATTATTCACAACATTATAAACATTTAAAATTTGATTAATAAACATTTAAAAAATGGACCATGATGAAGGTACAAAATGCTTCTATAAGTGCATATATTTCTTCGATTCAAATGGACAATTCAATGCAGAAAAGTTCGTACAAACGTTTCCGTGGGTTGCACACGAATCTGCCTCCAAATGCTCTGAGCATCACGACAAATGCGAGAAATCCCATCACATGGCGAACTGTGTTTTAAACATCTTGCCGCCTGAATATTTAAATTACGATTGATAAAACAGACATAAAATACATAGGATATAGAATTTATATTTATAGTTTGATTTAACAACCGACTAACAGCATGCTTAAAAACAAATTAAATAACATAAAAGATGAGGTCGCAAAATATATACAAAATACAAAAACATGTTTACAGAACTATCAAAAGCAGAGATACAAAATCTTCCTACCAAATTCCATTTGGATTCAATTTGTTGTATCTCTGCAAATATTTACTTGATTGATTCCACGCTTTTGCCCATTTCTGTATAAAATAAAATCCGTACTAGAGTACCAGAGTGGGCTGCATTTGTGGGAAAATTTCAGTCGTTGATTTCTGGCAGTTCTATATCTTTTTTGAGGATCTGAATCTGAATTGAAAGTTGGTAATTAAAATTTATCGGAGCTTTCCAAGATGTTTGCAAAAGACAGCAAAACATCTCTTTCTGTTTTTAACTTCGAAATAATTTTGTCCAAATGGATGAAGGGATTCTACGTAGGTAAGTATTTTACGGATGCATCTTACATTAAAATATGCAGGGACGTACTCGGACGCTTTTCTGCTAATGTCAATCGCCTCTTGGATTGGAAAAATATATATCAGATAAATCAGTTAAATCTACAATTTTATCTCTTTGGGCAATTTCCTTTTTTAATAATAATAATAATAATAATACAATTTATTGCCCAACAGAATAAAATTTCAAGTACAGGACAATTAGTAATATTTACCTTTTGCAAATTGATTGACTTCATTACGAAAACACTACAACATTTCACTAGAGATAGACTAGGAACAAAATCGCCTTCTATTTCATTTAACCAACTCCTCCGAATTCTCGGGTGTGTAGATTTAGAGATTTGACCTATAGCAGGCACGTCCAATCCAGGACGTTGTCTATAACGCGCTAGAAAGCTCTGCAAACCACTTAAATCAACATAAAAGGCATTGAAACGACATGAAAAACCTTAAAAGTAACAGAACTGTAGCTGTTTAGGTGTTTACCAGAAACCGCTTAAACTTCTAGGAGGCTCGGGGAAGCACTACAAGACACTATGAGGGTTCCTATAACCCTCCAGCTAATACAGAGCTTTCTTCAGTCCTTTCAGAACCGTCTAGACAATATTTAGGCTTTTGCATGAATTTGTGTTTTCTTTCGAGACTTCTCTATTCTACATCACAGATTTCGTGCTTTAGGTACTACAATGAATGCCACCATTTATAAATTGATGTTTTTAAAATTCGCTTGTTGGCAAAATGCAATTATAACACGTTTACATTTACCACCAAACTCTATTGACACAGACTGTACTTCTAAAATACAGCGATACCAAACCATCGCCTTCTTAACAGACTTGTTTGGTTGGCTTAACTGTATATGGTTCTAATGGTTGGACAAGAAGGTGTTCCTAAAAGGCGCTAGAACTTTTGGAATACACCAAAAAAACTCTGATTCTCGAAAAGTTTTTGATCGCGTTGATACGGAGTTTGTAGTTTACCACTTAAACAGGAAACAGGAAAGGACGTAAATAGCAACCACAGATTTTTTACATTATTAGTTGCTAATATCTACGTACACATTGATGCAACCTGTTAATGAATATAAGATGAAGATACCTGTTGATCAAATAAATTTGGTCCTTCTCCTCTTCAAAGTACATCCTTTCCCTATTCTAGCAATTCGCTCAGCTGTAATTCCACTTTGCAAAACAGTCCTGGTAAGAAGCGTCCTTTTGCTTTAGAAACTTAAAAAAGGAGTAAACTTAAACAACATTCTAGTGCATATGTGGAAACCCCTGTGAGTATGTTCATGGAAATTCATCTCAGTAAGAGAGCCACTTGTAAGTAGGTCCGATATTATTGTCACAACACCAGTGTGCAATAAAGAAGTTAATCAGCGAAGTTTGGAGAGAGCGAGCGAAACTTGTTGCATATTCTACACCATCACATCCAAAAGTTTAAAAATCCCACTGGGTCGTTTCAAAACTGGAATCAAACATAATTTTTTTCCCTTCACGATAAAAGTTTTGGAAGAACAACAAGAATTAAACACCGGGAATTAATGTCATAAACAAATAAAGAAAATGCTAATTTTTCTCCAAAATATGTATACCTATCATCTGTATACGTTTGTCAACAATCAGAACAGATACGCCAAGTTTCAACCCAATCAACATCGACCAATTTCACAAATCAGTTGTTGATAACAAACAAATAGCAACTGTTGACAAAAGAAAACCTATTTATCGACAGTTTCCGGAATTTAAATGATAAAGATTTGTATATAATACCAGAATGTGCGCATTTGCCAAATTTTTATTCAGAATGAGGTGCTTTATTCTCTTAACTATTTTATGCGTCGTTGTGGTGGCAAAGAAAAGAGTAATCAAGCACATTCGAAAAACAAATTGAATGTTCTGTTTCAGATTCCAGCGGTCAAATTGAAACAGTGGGAACGATTAATTAAACATTTCAAAGAAGAGTGTATAGAAAAATCTAAGGCTGATGCGACTCTAGTCGATCGAATGGTATATGAATTGGAATTTCCAGAAAATTTGGGATTGAAAAGATACTGGAAGTGTACTCATAACCACTTTGGAGTAATTAAAGGTAACGGGGAGATTGACGGGAGAGGAATTTCAAAACGAATCGCATTCGTGCTGCCTCGAATATCTTTAAAGTGCGCTACTGAATACAACAAAATAAAAAATGTGAACGACAAAGCTTTTGAAAATGCAAAATGTATTATTAATGAACTTGCGGGGTAGGTATGTCCTGGAATAAGTAAGACATATTTCGAAGTTACGTAAAACTTTAGTTTGCCATGACTTTGTCGCAAATGGAACCTTTATTAGTTTTGTTATTAATAAAAAATAAATTTTTAATAGTCCAATATACTTTCTGTGTTATTTTACATTTTTAAGGCCAGTTTCAAATACGCTTCTATTAAAAATGGATTGCTTCTATCCGTGCTAATTACATCCTGCTCTACTAGTGTTGGAGAAACTAATAATGGAGAATTCTTCCTTCTTCTCTTAAATTACAACAAGTCGATATCTAGGAAAATAGGATCTCAGGGGCGCTCGCGATTTGGTCATATGCTGGATCAACTCTCCCACTTCCAACATCAACTGTAATAAACCGATGCAACGGAATATCGAAGGATCCTCACTCCTCAGTATTACCATCACATTTTAACAATAATTTATTTTAACGTTGGAACCTCGATCCTTATCAAGTTCATGTCTTGAGCATTGGGAAAATACTTTTACTCTTTATCCCAACGACCTCGCGGCAGTTAGATTACATGCATGCAGAAATTGTAGATAATGCATTATGAGGGGCGGAAATTATATAATAATGAAAAACACAAAGCCCTTTATCGAGACCTATATAAAAATACGATGATAATTATATAACAACAACGATCTCCTTCTACTACCACATGGTTATCCAACATGAAGCGCTTTACTTTCCTGATAATTCTATGCGTTGTGGTGGCCAAAAGAAGGGTAAAACAAATGTTAGGTATACACATTGAGAATTGTAAACTTGTTTCAGATTCCCGAAGTCCAAGTGAAGCAGTGGGAACGAATAATTTCGAGTTTCAAAGCAGACTGTATAGAAGAAGCTAACGTGGATCCAATTCTCGTCGAGCGAATGGTTTACGAATTGGAATTCCCCGAAGATGAGGGCTTGAAAAAATATTGGAGGTGTACGCATAATCATTTTCACTCTATAAAGGCAAACCACAACCTCGACGGAGAACAAATTTCAAATCAAGTTCCTTTTGTTCCTCCTCAGTTAGCTTTACAATGCACAACCGAAAGTAATCACATAAAGGATCTGATCGAGAAAGCATTTGAAGGTGCAAAATGTATTATAAATAAACTTGCGGTCTAGTAGTAAGTTATCAGTTATCTGAGTTATCACATACATTTCGCTTTCGAAAATGCCTTTTTTCAATCGGCCTAAGTAGGTAATCAATCGCTTTCTAAAGTTTGAATTTACATTATATAAATTATACGCAATTGTGAAATTTTGATGAGCTTACTACAGTCAAAGGGTAAATAATGTATTCTTTGCTATACAGGGTGTTTTTTTGGGAGCTTTAGTTAAAAGTTTCTGGGAAAGTAAAATACGTAGGTTTTTGAAAATTTGTACTTAGGAGTTACTCTGAAGGCCGAATCGATGTAAAATATTTTCAAAATGGCCGCACTTCCGGAAACACCGGAAGTAGATAGTAACTTCGTTATTTTAAATGGCAACCCCTATTAATTTTTGGATTCTACGTGAAATTTCTTCTTTTGATACCCATATGTCGATATCTGCCATTTATGGTTTTTAAGTTATTTTGACTTTAAGAAAAAAAATGGCGGATGCAGATGGTACCATAATTGATTACTTGAAAACGGTTGTAGTCATGGCAACCTATTTTTATCAGTTAGAGAATGAATAGGGCTTTCTTTTAGTGCACTTAAAACAAAGTTAAGTTGCATACAACCGCACCTATGGAGATCCAAATTTAAGAAACTAAAGTCTAAACTCAGTTTTTTTAAATGGAATGACCATGTTCTTAATATTGCATGAGATAGAGAATCGAAATTGGCATATTTTGTATACATGTTCCTATAGCTATAACAGTTTCTGATTTATTCCCATATTGAATTGATCTCGGAATTGATGCCAGCATTTTCTTTTTAGTAGTTGGCCATGATGAATTTTAAACAAATCAAGGAATGGATTCTTTAATACCATTGGTTCTAGTCTAAATAATTCATGGATATAGGACGGAAAATTTTTGAAAAATCTAAACAGAGTCGTTCAACTGAATTTCTTATCTCTATCTGTTCTAGCAACAATTCCATACCAAAAATGTTTCAACGAAGTGCATTGAATTTATCTTGCATTTGCAATTCAATTCATTTTCTTAAATATAGAGCTTTGTATCACTTGTGCTTCAACGGTTTGTAGTGCATTAGGGGTACAAAATAAAATTCATACAATTTCGTTCTGAGTGAATGTACGGAAAGCACGCGCCGCGATTCTGCCCATTTCACCATAAATAACAATTAAATTCCAAAATAGGTGAAACCACTGCGAGTCATTTTTCGACTTATGTTAACCTATAACCACTAGATTTGTTTAAAATTCAATTGCATGGCCGACTACTAAAAAGAAAATCCGCAATTCAATAAAATGCAGAAACTGTTAAAGATAGCTATAGGAACATGTAAAAATATGCCATTTCGATTCTCTATCTCATGGAATAGTAAGAACATGGTCGAGTTTAGTCTTTGAAGTTTCATAAATTTGGATATCCATAGGGGCGGTCGTACGCAACTTAACTTTTTTTAAGTGCACTAAAAGAAAGCCCTATTCATTCTCTATGCACTGATAAAAATAGGTTGCCATGACTACAACCGTTTTCAAGTAATCAATTATCAAGGTACCATCTGCATCCGCCATCTTAAAGTCAAAATAACTTAAAAACCATAAATGGCAGATATCGACATATCAAAAGAACTGAAATTTCACGTAGAATCGAAAAATTAAAAAATAGGGGTTGCCATTTAAAATAACGAAGTTACTATCTACTTCCGGTGTTTCCGAAGTGCGGCCATTTTGAAAATATTTTACATCGATTCTTCAGAGTAACTCCTAAGTACAAATTTTCAAAAACCTACCTATTTTACTTTCCCAGAAACTTTTAACTAAAGCTCCCAAAAAAACACCCTGTATAGTGTAACCGTTAGTGGTGTAACTTATTAAAGTCCTTTAAATTCAATTCTCAAAATCGTTCCAAGTGCCAGAGAGACGAAAGTTTTTCGATTTTATACAATAAAATAAACTATTAAACGGCCCACACACGTTACAATTTATCGTTACTACAGCAGTTTCGAGGAATGTCTCCTTTTTTGGATTCATGTTAGTAACATCAAACATCTCTCATTCCGTCTGCTGATATCCTCCCTATTACTGCAGGCATTAAATTAATACAACCTGAGCCTTTGGTAATGATTTTACTAATCCGAAAACAGCCGATGCCGCATGCAGAGAGGTCAAACCGTTATAACGCGATTTATAACAATGCAAAATTTCTTTTGATTGATGTAGGTACCTTTTTCTCCAAACTTAAGTCCTCAGTTTTATAAAGAGCTCCATAAGACTCACGAACCTGAACTTTTTCTCCTCTTTATATCGCAACGAATGATGCAAGTGATTAAATGCAGAAAAGGCTTCCTGTGGTTGAAAATAGCACGTGCCTTCAATTTCTTCTTCTTCTTTATTTAATTCCATTACGATTACATGAATTAGTGATGGAATGATAATACAAATAAGTATAAAAAGACAGGGTATGATGATTGTAATACCGTTGAGTGAAAAATTTATTTCGTATACTTAACTTATATATAACTTATAATTTTTAAGTTTATTTACAAATATAATTTATTTCTCTACAATAAGATCATCAATGATGCACAAACTGTATTTGAAGGCTTTGTCACAATTATCCTTTTCATCCCTGTGTCGTTTTTCACACTTTTCTTGGAGATCCTTCTTAATAAATGGAAACTTTTTCACAATAAGTTCGTTATCGTAGCTGCCATCGGCCTTAAAAATATTGACCTTCTCGTGTAAACACCTCCAATAGCACTTTAGGGCTTTATCTTCGGTGAAATCCAATTCTTTGATCATTTTTTCTATGCGTTTTGGGTCAACTTTGCTTTCTTCTATACATTTCATTTTCAGGTCTCCTATAGTTTCTTCGAATTTCTTTACGGTTTCCTCGGGTATCTGAAACATTCATGTAAATATGTGATATAAAAACAAAATTTTACCTTTTTTGCAGCGACTGCTACCACGAGGATGGAGAGTAAAAGAACCGACTTCATCGTTGGTTACTTCTCTTGTGCTTCATTTGTTCCACAACACGTATATTTATATCGAATCGCGTATTCGAAAGGTTAAAAATTCATATTATACCGGTACAATTTAGAATCAATTAATATCGCACGGTTATCGAACTAATGATTTGTTATTCTTACAAAAGATGTGATATTAATTGTTAAATAATATAGGTGTATATTTCCACCTACTTCATACGACTAAATATTATTATGTACTGATTCATAGTGCAAATGATCAATAATGGAATTGTTTTTTTTAAAGAAAACATTCAATAATAATTGACTGGATACGTTAAACCAAATCACTTATTCAAATCAATTTACCTATCGCTGATAATGAAATATTTTTATTGCAGTTATTAATTCAAATTGGACATTCTCACTGTCTCCACAATAAAGGGTCCAAATCTTTCCCCTATACCTAATGTATCAAGGGATGAAACTCGTTTTTTTTTAATCTATAAAGCAAAAAATAACTATACATTTTCAGTGATCAAATGCTTCATTACATGCAAAATGTAAAAGAAAATCCTGTTTTTCTTTCATGGACTTCATCTATTGTCTCATACCAGTGACCACCGCTCCTTTAAAGCATGAAATGTTTGCATTTGCAGGGGTTAAACTTAAAGTACTCATTAACAATCCTTCATAGAAACGGGAAAAGAATATTTCCACTACAGAAGTGATCTGCATGTGGTATGCTCCCTGTGTGTAATGCGGGTAAATATCCGATTTGGCGGATTATGAAGTGTTTTTTATTTATTTCTTTATTTTGGACATTGTTTATTCCAGCACTTGTTGGATATTTAGGAGAATACAATATTTTGTTTTTCGCAGAGTAGATGGGCTCATTTCTACGGCGTTGTAGGCCATTTTCCTTAAGGGTAGTAGTTTCACGGGGATGATTTAGTTTCTTCCAAATTAGTGTCTGGGGTAGATAAAAATCTATTTATGCAAATTTTATTGCTTATCTACATAGGATAGGAAGTTACCTCTACATAGGATAGGAAGTTACTTACGAATACAGTCTTAAATGCATCCATAATGCTGGCATATATGAAGGAAATGTCAAAGGTATTTAAATCTTCTATATTTTGGTGCATTCATTCAAAACTTTAAAGCAATTAAAAATTAAAAAGTGGAACAGATTTGGAAGCATGCCCTAAATTACGCGCGTTTGTGAAAGCTTCAACCAAAGGATAGATACAAAAGCCAAAGAAATGTTCTGCATTTACAGAAAGCGACCTAAGAGGAGTTTTTATTTCATCCAGATGACAGTTTCAAAAGTCATACTTGAAGTATCGTTACTTAGCAACTTTAAAGCACGTGTGTTTTAAAGGCCTTTTTTCGCACGCATTTGAGTGTTTAAAACGGAGATTGTGATTCAGGTGTAATAAAAAATTTATTTTAAAAAAAACGGATAATTCTACCCTTAAACTGCAGATGTTTAATTGCAATGCAAGTATTCCGTTATAGGACCTAATGAGGACCTAATGAGAACTTCCCGTCTTCCCCAGTGCCGAAAATGATCAGCTTCCCTTGTTGTTCTTTCTAATTTTGAAGAGCCTAGGAAGCTATACCACTGTACAATCTCAAAGCGTGCAACCTCTCAGAATTATAGGAGATTGCTGTCAACCACCTTTTTCAAACACTCAAAAAAATCTAAGCTCACTGGATTATTCTTATACAGAGTGTTTAGTATTATTGGTTTTGTATTTTTTCCTATATCGAGTGACAATCCAATATGGCGTCCATAAGAATTTATTCGAAATCCACAAGTCATAAATCATTTATTTTAGCACCATCAAAAAGCAGAGAAAAAGTACTAAGCAGTAAAGTACATTAGCAAGCCTCTGAAATTGTTTCAGTACACTGTTTGTTATCATTTATTATTTAATATCTTTGAAAATAAATAAACGCCAGTGCAGTTTCGAAAATTACCTTTTTCGCTTTCTTAACCATAACTTCGTTATTTGTAAAGTTACAAGAAGTTCTGAAAGGGAAAATTAATCTACATAAAATTCTGCAATTCTTTGCTCATTTAAGCGACTTTGTCTCTCTTACTCTTACTCACCCTGTACAATGCATATACAGGGTCGCTATTTAAGATGGAACCAAAGCTTTCACGCTCAAATCATTTGAGATATGGATATGAAAATTAAAACGCTTCATTCAAATTTACTACCTTTATATCCCAGAACAAAAAACTTAGAAGGAAAACGTAAACGGGAACAACTGAGTACAAATATAATTAGTTTGGAGAACATTCAATAGATGGCGCATATTTAGCGTGCTTGTTAAAGTTACTAAATCTAGTGACTTTAGTACGTGTCGCCATTATGACAGTTGAATTTTGAATTTTGATTGACAGCTTATTGTGCTTTAAGTATAATTACTATTCATTATTACAATGAATTATGCATATACAAATCGAAAACGTAAATGTTGTGTGACAAATTGTGAAGACGTTTCCCAAAAATGGAGCCCGAAGTTTTTATAGAATTGGTTTAGAACATAATGTGGAAGAAATTTACACAAAAGTTTTTGGTTTGTGAACGTCATTTTTCTGGTTGCGCTTTAGAACCTGGAACACGAAGAGGTTTAAAGCGTGTGGCAGTTCGCACATTATCTTTAGCAGGTAACACTAATTGAATTGTAATAAATTGCTACATATTTTGTTTTTAGAACGATCTTGAGAGCATCATAAAGTGTAGAGTTCCATGAAGTTGATCTTGTATCTTGTATATCCATATTAAATTAAATATAACTCTTTGATTGGATTAATTGGAGTTGTTACTTATAAAGTGGTCTGTACTCTTTGAAGCCCCTGACTGTTGAGGTGCATCGGCATTAAACTGAATTTATCTGGATCCCTAACAAACAAAATTGGACTTCACTGGCTGGATTCATTTACCTTTTAGGTTTCAGCTAGTCAAATCCAATGTTATTGTTACAGATCCGGAGAACTGCAGTATAATGCGGACGTAGCTTACATTTTAATATTTAAATTTGGTGCCATTCACGCAAAAGCTGCTGAGAACATACACGAGATGGCGCGTCATTTTTACATTACACATAGATATATAAATACCTAGATACAGCCATCCTTAACAAACGTACTTCGGTTTTTAAAAAACATATCAAAGAAATTTGTACATCTCTCCATTACTTTCTAACCAAGAAGAAACATGTTCTATCTCTTTTTATTGCATTAACCACTATGTCGTACGCGAATCGGACGCTTAAAACAAACTTAGCGCGTCCCATAAGTCATGTGACAGTTGACAGATTTCACGATCGCGCGAAATCAAATCTAACTAAAAATATTCGCCCTAAACATGATGGGCGGTTTTTTCACTAAATTTTGTGTAATTATATCGTTATCAATTGAATACGAATAACATTAGTGCTTGCCATAATTATAGACGCGTCCATAATTGTTATTCCTGAAATAGTTTTATTACATAGAGCTACGCCATTCAAATTTGGGACTATGTTTACCTTGTTTGGCATGATGTGCTGCAGTGAATTCATTGCTGGCTTGCAGAATATCAAAAAAACCGTAAGTAAGTAAAGTTTATGTTCAACATTTTAATTTTAATTGCATGGTTTTAGGCGTAATGGTAACGGAGATTAAGTTGCGACAGGAAGTGAATTCGTTTCCAATTATTATTTTGGCGTATATGATGTTGATGCAGTGCGTTTGTATCATGATCACGAATGATCCGTGCAATATTCTTAGGAAAACGAGATTTATAGACTGTGTGTGCGTGCAATATCAAATTTTGGTCGCTACGCGTCTTGCCTACCTTTCGGCATATGTCCAATCGGTGGGTTTTCTTTTTGAAATTATAGTGCTAATTGTAGTAAGTAAGCTACACGTGTACATTTATTTAAAATAAATACAACATCTTAACAATGATATCCAATTGGTGATAATACTCATTTAGTGAACATTCATTACGTTTGTAAAAGTTCACAATCCGAATCATCGTCAGATGAAATTGACAAATCCGAATCATCACTGTCATTATTAACACTTATTATAAAGTTCAGAAACATCAACCAATATAACTTCTCTTTTAAATTAATCACTTTCCACATGTTCACACACTTTCTTCCAGTTGTCAGCTTCCATTTTAAATGTAACATTTCTTGCTTCTATGCGATTTAAATAAATAAAAAGGCGTTTTATTTATGTTGTCTCAAATCTGATAATTTTCTGTGTGATTTGTGCTAACAATTTGATTGACAGTTATAATAAATAATGCGAATCTTGTCTTCCATGCTCAGGGTACCTCTATAAAGGATAGCGCTATACGTAATTAATGTGCCGAAAGTGATGGTAATAGATGGTACGTCCTTTTGAACTATGTTGGGGTATGGCTGTATCTATGTATTTATATATCTATGACATTACATTAGAGTTTCCATTCTAAGTTTGTTGTTCTATGCTTTATATTCGTGCACATCGTAAGATGGCACTGCCTATTTAAATGTCCTTACTACTCACAAATTGTATTGTGATCTGTAGCCACCGACACTAATCGGACACGCCCGAGTCGAAGCCCGATCCCTACGAGTTTTTTAAATCCTCTTAGCAATGTTAAATTTAGGTTATATTTCCTTTTTAAAAACTTACAATCAGTACAATTTCAATAAACAATTATACACCCTCTTACAAAAATGTACAAATACAACGTCTGTACGACAGGTATCACATAAAAGTAAGTGTTAATAAGGTTGCGAATTTATAATTAACCTCTCTTTCCGATCTGAAGACAAACCAACACCTCTAGCACCACTAACATTCAATGAGACCTTAAATTATAGACGAAACCAGGCAAAACGTAGCATCTTAGTTCAAGTGCAATCGATGGAGTCCTATAAGGAGCTCTATTCGTATATTTCGACATTGGGGAACGTTCATGAAATGCTGCACTATGTGACTTCAACTGATCAGTTGGTACGGCTTTGCGAGTAGTAAAGAGGATTTTATATGAAGTTATGTTTAAGCATTTTATCATCGTGGAATTCGATAATGAAGAGCAAGTATCTAATATAATCCAGAACAGTTCCCACATAAATTCCGGCGAAAGCTTTCCGATTCATTCTAATTTCTTATGGTTTAAGGCAACAAATCGTAAGAACTCCAAGTTAAAAATACCAAAGAATTTTAAGTTGGGAATGGAAAATGGAAATCAAATACCTTCGAAGAACGAAATATGCAATTTACTGCTTGGACAGGATAATGTAAGCTTTGTTGATCTCATTCTTTAAAATGTACAATTTCACATCCATAGACGAATCATCAAATTCAAACACTTCACGATGTTACCAAGCTGAATGACGTTGCGACACGATTGAGGTTTTTAACCACGCGACAGGTTGAATTGTCAGTGGCCGGTATGTTTCCGAATGCGGTTGCTTACCCGTTTGGCTCGTCGGTTAATGGATTTGGAAAGATGGGTTGCGATCTGGATATAGTTTTCAGACTTGCGGAGGAACAGGTTTTTTGTAGATCTTGAAACTCGCATCACATTAGCAATAGACACCTTTTTTAATGAAATTCTGATCCAGATGCATTTTTTTTACAGATTTAACAAAATAGATTATGTAAATACTCAACGGGGATTTAACAGGCTAACCGAAACAATTATTAAAAGTCTGTCTGTCTTACAAGTTTTAATTTGCAAATTTAATAAAGTAAATTAAACTAAATGAAAATACAAAAAAATGAAAAATATTACCCCCCTCCCCATTCAAAAATTATTTATTATTAATTTGCGCTATTGGAGCAAACTGTTTCAAAAGTGGCATAGTTGGACATTCAGTGAGCGGGGATTGATTTATGCATAGGCTGAGGAGAGTAAAAGATAGGGTAGCAAATTTATCACAATTGACTAACAAAATTCTTTTTGCTTCAAAAGGAATTGGACCATGCTACCTTCGTTAAAAGGTGCAAAATAGATAGGATCGCACTACTTATCTACTTTCCAAAAATGTGGCGCAGTGGCGTAGAAGCGCGACTGCGATATTAAGTGTCCCTGGTTCGAGTCCAGGTTTGGTCATTGATATTTGTAAATGGATAGTGAGTTGGGTTGGTAGAGCAGCCTTGGTTGAAATCCCCACCCACTTAAAAATAAAGTCCAAACGCAAAATAAATAAATAAAAGTATCCCATTACTGCAGATTCTGCACACTCATGCCATATTATGGTCAGACAAAAAATCATTAATTGAATAAGTCACCATCTCGCGTTCTCTCTCATCTCTTGCTTCTGTGTGAGCCAAGTTCCAGGTGCTTTGGAAGCGGCATGTAGCTGTGTATCTAATGCAAAAATCGCAACTCGATCATCTGATTCTCCAGGGACAGCATCCAAACTATTTTGACAGAGTACAGGGGGTGCTCTCTAGATACCCATCGCGTTTGAGGCATAGTGCTAGCCAGTTCCTCCGTGCTCCGCATCGCGTCGTCCGTCCAACCAGTGTAGACCAGAGAGGAAATATTAATTTTTTTTGTCTCCCTTCATTCACCCTCTACAAATTTCTAAAGTTGGAGTATTACCCCAAAAAAAACATCGCGCGCGCGACCGCATCGAACCGGAATAGACTCGTGTCTATGCCATTGTCCTATTATGTACCTTGCAGGAAACTTACCTTTAGCTCCCTTTTTTGTGGACATATGTTTTTTTGGAAAAAATCTGGTTCAGCGTGTCACTGAAAAATGTCTGTTGCTAACATGATACAGGTTATTTTTAACCGTTGTAAAGATGCTGATTTTTAGACTAAAAGTGACAGTCGTCTAATTTTCCACTGTAAAGCGAATAACTTATATGAGAGATCAATAACGCATAGGCACATGGAAGTTGTCGGTGACGTGTTACAATTGTTTCTACCTGGGTGTACACAAATTAGAAAGATCCTACAAGCCCGTGTTCCAATTATAAAATATTACCAGCAATTTACCGACGTTGAGTGCGATTTATCAATGAGTAATATGTAAGTGTTGCATTACTAAAATACACTTTACTAGCAAAGTTAAAGGTCTGGCGTGTGCATGTCTGATCTTTTACATCTCTATGGCTCAATCGATGCACGTGTACGTCCGTTAGTCTTCACAGTACGGAAATGGGCGCAAGAAGTGGGAATTACTAACTCCTCTCCGGGCAGATGGATTTCCAATTTCTCACTTACTTTACTAGTCTTGGCATTTCTCCAGCAGCCAAACAATGCTCCGCCAGTTCTGCCGTCGGTCCACCACGTCTTACAGCAAATTGGTAGGTATACGTTGACGCAACAGTTACCTGAGTTGCTTGCTTTAGGACTTAAGTGTGAAAACGTGTTAGAAGAAACCCTACAATTTTCCTTCTCGGAAAGCGGGAAAACCCTGAAATTCAAATCTTCCAACACTGACGACTTAGAAACGTTACTAAAACAATTTTTCAATTTTTATTCTTCCTTCGACTTCTCTTCAAAAGCCATAAGTTTAAATGAAGCAATTTCGATCACAAAACCTGAATACAGTCCCCTCTACATAGTCAACCCACTGGAACGGGGACTGAACGTTAGTAAGAATGTTAGCCTGGACGAACTGGAGAAATTCAGATATGAGATTAGGAATGCCCTGTGGGTACTTGAATCCAATCAAGGAAAAAGTAATTCGAATTGGGGTTTATTGGAAATGTTCCAAACGAAGAGAAAGTCGTTTCAGTCCAACTACCATTCTTTCAGACATGATCGGTTAATGGAGGTTAGTAAGTTATTTGAAGAAGATTCGAATGGTCAAGAAAATTCAAAAGAAACCAATAAAGACTCTTATCAATATGAAAAAGCGAATAGGTAGTATTTGTTCTAACTTAATATTTGTACATAATATTAAACAAATAGCTCTTTTAACATCTTTTAGTTGTTATTTGTTTCCTTCCTTTCTGTCCGTTCCTGTCTTTCCTTTTTCTCTTTCACTTTCCCATTCGCTCTTGCGGTTCACTTTAGTCATTCACTTACAATTTCAGCGTGTCCATTTTTTGTATACCTATTCACAGTATGTTTTTTTTTATATTTACTATACAAGATGTCCATTTATCAAGTGGCGCTGTGGGATCTCGCTTATCTTAAGACATTGAAAGTTGGTTAACAGAGTGCAAAGTTAAAAATTTTCGTGCTGAATAGTAGGTAATCTAAAAAGAAATTTAAAATTTCTACAACCATTTTGAAAATATCGCAAGAAATGTTAAACCACATGGACCAATCAGGCGCCATTATTGCGGAATCTATGGCGTGTGGCCGCCACAGTACTTCCCCTCCAGCCTAGTGGTAGTAAACTGATGGAACTTTGTCGGAAACTTCCCTGATCCCGTTTGAAGCGGAGCTGGATGATGCTGGATTTGAATGGGGTTCCAGTGATGGTATACTAGGTACGTTTATTGTGCCGTTTGTCATAAACCTGGTTTGAGGCAGTCATTGATATTTTGCCCATATGTCCGGTAAATCGACTACAAAACATTTTTCCATTTTCAAGCCTCCAAACTACATAACTGGTAAGGGGCCTTCGTCGAATGTTGCAGCGATCTCGTGCTTATGCGCAAAAACATGAGAGCATATGTGTCGAACTCGGAGTGGACAAAAACTTTCGAATTTCCGTGCATTCTTGAATGGGACAATTGGAAATCCTCAAAAGATGATCTAAGCTATCTGATTGGCAAAAAGGGTTGTGTCACGGGCGTTAGTATTTTTATTGATGGCGTCGAAAACTTCTACAATATATGTGGGCTCGTCCGGTCCTGCTACAACAACCGGTTAATCGGTCGCGTAAGAGAGGTAGGTATTACATTGGGGTAAAAATTGACATCCCACTTTTTTTACGGACATACACGTTTTGAAGCACCAGGAATCCGAATCAAACAAATTCGTGATGATGTCGATCGATCTGAAAAAATATTTGATCGTTTTGTTCTTAAATACATGGGTCCAAGGTGGATTATGAATCCACCTTGCATGGGTCAATTTGTTTTTTTTTTCACTTCAGGTTAAAAGTGTGTGACCTTTTTTGACATACTTCATTGGTACACCCTGTATCTCAAAATTTTTTTTAAATTCATATGTACATTGTAATTTAATATTTACATATTACACATGAAAAAAGAGAAACAAATCTTAAATGTGAGAAAAATAAAAGTAAGTATATATTCTAAAATATGGTAGGTACACAATATAATAGACAAATAACTTAAAAATAAAAATTATTCATTGTCGGAGTCTAAACTAGACAATTTCTGCATTACAGTAGATAAGGGAATTTTTTTTCTATTCAAAAATGTTTTACTAGAAGGCAACTTTTTGGCTTTAAGAATCCGCTTTCTTAATTTTAACTTGCTTCCCACTGCGACATCTTGATGAAAGTGAACTGTCCGCTTATACTTTCTTGTACCGATCAACTGCTCTTCGTTATTTTGTTGCTTTGGCTCTTCAAATATCGTCTCCAAAGTAGAAGGCAGCCTTTTCACTCTTTTATCACAATAATATTGCTCAATGCTACGTTTTCTCATCTTTGGTTCGCTTTCAACCTTGACTTCCAAGGGATGCACACGTTTTCGTAAGGAGCGTCTAACGGGAACATTTGTTGATAAACTCTCAGTAGCAGCAGTTTCTGATCCATCAGAGCATCTTACTTCTACAAGATCCATGCATTCCTCTTTTATTTCCTGTAAAACATCGTAAACTGATTGAATTCTGGGATGTCTTCCACTTCTTCTCCTAGTAGTAACGTTTTTATAATTCACTGGTTCTTCAGTTTCAGTTAAATCTATAACTTCTGCACCCTTTCTACTACAATCCGGAGGTTCAATCACCAAGTTTGGAGCAATATCACAAGATGATGACCTATTACTTTTTGACCGCCTCTTCTTTACATGCACGTCGCTTACACCAATCTCCAAATTAGGTTTAACGATTTGCATGGAAACATTTTCCACCATCTCCTCATCGATAAGATTTATAACTTCAGAATGACACGTAAATGACGTTTTGGCATTTGTTGTAATATCCATGGAACACAGCATAGCATCCAACTCCATCATTCTCGACCTATAATGCAAGGTAAGTACTGTACCACACATTTAAAGTACATACCGTAGACATTTCTTTTTTGAATTCACTGAATACTGGAAATACAATCAAAATTTAGCCATAATGGACAAACGGGGACCAAAGTGGAACGTTTGAAAGCGTTTAAAATAAACACATCAAAATAAAGATAAATTGATATCACCAACTTAATAAAACAAATCCCACTATAACAGTACAACCGAGTGATAATTGTACAGGGTAAGTCTGACGTAATAATGGCCATATAGTAATTTAACCGTTTATCAGGATAAAATTCCTTGGACCGTTTAGACCAGTACAATTAAAACAAGCAACTTTTTAAAGAATAAAATTTTTTCCGTCTGTATGCGCGCACATTGGCAATTTTCCAAGGTAACGGTTCGACGGATTTTGTTCACATTTTGGATATGTTAGGCATACGAACAAAAAATAAACGGCACATTTTTTCAAATACTTTTTAATACAATATTTTATTTAGTGCACAAGTACAAAAATTGTGTCAGGTTTTATTACAAAATAGCTCAGAAAAAATCTCATAGTTAAAAAACTAAAATATTTATTATTAGTTATTTTATTATAAGTTAAGATGGTCACAAACGTTTTTTTTTTAATAGGTTATCTAAGTTTTTAGCGCCGTGACGCCATACAACTTTTTTTCAAATAGTAACCCACATTTTTATTAGGTTATTTAAACAAATTTGTATCTTTGTTTATCATGATTAATTAATATCCAGACTGTAAAGTGAAGGTGAACGTGGCTCATCCCACATCTGCACACAAGCTGCCGACAAATAGGTCATTGACAACTTTTTGAGGGTGGCGGCGGTCAGTGGCTCCCCCATACCAACGGGATAAGTTGTAAAATGCTATTCTTATTCTTACATTGCAATCGAGTAAGGAGCTATTCATTTACTGACTTTAGACAATAAATGAATTATTTGTAATAAGTGTCAGTACTAAAAACAAACAAAATTGAAAAAAGCGTGTGAGGAGAACTTAAAAGCTGTTCTGTCAAGTATTTGGCACCTTGGTTTCGTATGAGAAAACTTTAAAAATTTTGAATTTTCCACCACCATACCCATACGGTATGGTGAAAGCTGCTCAATGAGATTTTTACACCGGAACTTTTGTTAATCTACCAAAATTATATGAGTGCCCATTTGTACGTAAATAATACAAAGGTAGCGCCAAAAATTCTCGCCATATAGATCTAGAAATCAGAAACACGACACTTGGAAGAAAAGAAAATGAACTTTATGTCAATTAGTTTTCTTAAAATAATTGTCACTCGTTTAACACCATGTCAGAACTCACAAAAGACGAGTATCGAGCCGTAACCACATTCTTTACTTGTGTGGGTGTTTCTTCTCAACCTTAACACATTAAAAGATCGATTATTTATATTGGTAAAATTCGTCGTTTTATTCTGTAGTGAAGGTCTGAAAGATTGGGTAAAACATTCTCAATCGTTTTGAGATGACAGCAGAACAAGAAGAGAAGGCGGTGGATGTGAAAACAAAAACATCGCCTTGGTTAGGGATCTCGTGTTAGGCGATCAACATTTATTAATAATTTATTATTACAATGAAATTCAATAATTATGTCAATACTTATTTTAGCATACGTCTTTATCGTGATAATTTTTCTGATATAACAGAATTCCTGTATACATGGCCTTACATACAATTTTACATTATCAAAAATAAAGACGAAATTGATAATTGTTATACTATGTACACAATTTCTCGATAAGCTTTAAATTTTACTCTACCGCCAAAGTAGTACATTATATTACTATCACCCTGTATATAGCCTAAACTGTTTACGAAGTTGGCAACGCGTTACGATTGCCAACTTAAAAAGTTAAATCTTTATGCCAGTCATCTGCGATCTGCATTCCTGTTGTGTCTTCGTTTACTTCTTCATCGTGTAATTTTAAAATGACCAGCATAAGAGTAATAAACAATGAAGCCCATTTCGTAGCTGAGTTAGCCAATGCCACATCCCGTCTGGTTGTTGCTGATTTTACAGCCAGTTGGTAAATTAAGACAAAAACACCTATTGGCCTTTTAACTTTAGTTCTCCATTTAGGTGTGGACCCTGTCAACGTATTGCCCCCGTTTTTCAACAGTTATCCACCAAATATGGGAAGGCTATTTTCTTGAAGATCGACGTGGATAAGTGCCAAGAGGTTGCTGCCGCACAGGGAGTATCTGCGATGCCTACCTTTATTTTCTATCGCAATAAGGTAAGTGCATGAATCTCTAATGGAGTGTTGGGTTATGGAATGTTTACAGACCAAAATTGATTCAGTACAAGGAGCAGATCCGACCGCTTTGGAAAATAAGATACAGCAATATTATGGGAGTGAAGATGGTGACGAAGCAGAAGGCTTACCTGGACATGTAGGTGAGATAATGTAGCATATCAGATATTCATTGTGGTTTACAGATGGATTTATCGCCATTCATTCTAAAGGCAAACTGTGAATGCTTAAATGAAAATGATGATCATCCCTTTGCTCATTGCCTGCAAGCTGGAGGTGGATTCCTACAGTCGGATTGTGATGAGCAGTTAATTCTATCAATTTCATTTAACCAAGGCGTCAAAATTCACAGTCTAAGAATTAAAGCTCCATCTGATAAAGGCCCAAAGAACATCAAAATCTTCATTAACCAGCCACACACGTTGGACTTTGATGTAGCTACCAGTTATAAAAGTGTACAAGACGTAGAGTATGTATCGTACATTACTTTATTGTTTCATTAAATGCTCCTTTCCAGATTAACACCTGCTGATTTAGATGGATCATCTGTCAATTTGCGTTACGTGAAATTCCAAAATGTGCAAAATATACAATTTTTTATTAAGGATAATCAGTCGGGAGGCGAAGTGACACAAATAGATCATTTTGCTATTATTGGTTCACCAATTAGTACAACAAATATGGGCGATTTTAAGCGAGTGGCTGGTAAAAAGGGCGAGAGTCATTAAATGAACCATTCTTTTGCAATGTAATGTGCAAACAATCGCATTAATAAAATGTATCGTATTTAATTTACTTAATGAGAGTAGCAATAATGTTAAAAACTACTGTATCGTGCATTTAGGCTTCCCATTTGGACTCTGCACCGAGTAAAGTTATATGCCCCTGTCCTTGGGTAGACCTTGTAGAGAAGGTTCCTTACTATGTTAGGATCTTAATATTGTGCGAGAGATGATGACCACATTCAAAGGATTTGGTGGGAAATGTCATGTAGCAAGCTGCAAGCATGTTCAAAGCTCCATTGATAGGCTGAGACCAATGTGACTATCCCTGGCACCTAGAGTACTATGATTCATAGCTGCTTGCATCTACAAATTTTAGTTGCACTAAAGCAAACTATCAGAATCTCCAGTGACAGCAAGACTGCCCTGCAGGCACTTCGTCACTGTGTAAAATTATGTTTAGGTAGGTTTCCACATGTTATGCACTAGAGAAAATAGCAAGCAGCATCCTTGCTTGAACTCGCATGGATCAAAGAGCATGCTGAACTATGCCACTGGATTCTAAGTAAAAATATCTAAAGTAAAACAGTTTTTACCTTTTATGGGTAGTAGGTAAGTATATAAAAAAGTCAAACTTTTCGTTTTCACCCTGTATATCTCATCAGAAATAAACAAATTGATTGATTCTATTTGTGGTGTTAAGTTTCACAAAAAAGTAGGGGGCCCAGAATAGCGAAAACCGCAAGTCTTTATTTTTAAAAACAGGGGAGATATACTGCAACAGTTTTAACCAAAATAGGACACACTGTACACCTTTCTCATATTTAATCGATATCTATAAGATACCCATAGTGGCCAATTTCTTTTTACGTCTGAGCATTCCTTCACTATGCTATATTAATTTTATATTCGGCTTATTGGGCCTGTTTTTGGTTTGAATACCATTTTTACGTCTATATGCTAAAGGAACACGTATCCCGTAGCTAGCTCAAAATCCACTGAGCGCTTGGTGCTCGATACTCGAGCGTTTACCTAAAGTGCGTAGAATCCAAAACAATTCGTACTTTTTCGATCACACTTCTCAATCAAAAGTTATAGCGCTAGAAACCAATTTCGAAAGAAAATTCAAAGGACTGTAACTTTTGAACTAGTAGCCCAATCTTGGAACTGTTTGAAATTATGGATTCTACAGGCCACATTCTATAAGAAAATTTTTTTTCCGGGTCGATTTGAGACAATTTTTTTTTCGGGGCTCAAAAAAAGGCAGTGTAGAACCTTCCTTTTTTACCAAAAATCGACTGCACCAAAATTTGTCGGGAAAACACTTTTTCTTATTAATTTTGGTGCGTAGAATCCAAAACAATTCGTACTTTTTCGATCAGACTTCTCAATCAAAAGTTATAGACTAGAAACCAAATTCGAAAAAAAATTCAAAGGGCTGTAACTTTTGAACTAGTAGCCCAATCTTGGAACTGTTTGAAATTATGGATTCTACAGGCCACATTCTATAAGAAAATGTTTTTCCCGGTCGATCTGAGACAATTTTTTTTTTCGGGGCTCAAAAAAATGCAGTGTATAACCTTCCTTTTTTACCAAAAATCGACTGCACCAAAATTTCAAAAATCAGGATACACACATATTGGTTTCGAATATATAAAATTATAAGTTCAAAAATCATGATATATTTGCAACAATAAGGTATAATAATCAATATAATACAGTTTTGTTGTACTTATACTGCCATATTGTGTTGGCCCAACCCTCAAAATCTTTGGAACATCACTCAAAATTGCGAGCCACATACACATACGCACTGAACTGACTGTCGACCGAACAAAAACCGCATACAACACAATACAGAGCTTTTATTAATTATAGGCAACCTTTGCAACGGTTGTTCTCAAAATAAGCTTATGCTTATCTTGCAGGCATTACATCATATGTTAAAAATTATTATATGGGTTGTTAAACTAACAATCTTTCAACCGCAAGGTTTTCATTTAATGCGTTGTACCTAACTCAAAACTGTATTATACACAAATAATAAACCCATTTCGTTAATAAACTATATTTTAATGTTTATTAGCTATTTGCTCTTGGATATATATCTAAGATCATATTTAATACAATGTCATTATTAGTGAGAATAATTTTGATTAGACATATTCATATTGTACAGCGTGTGTCAAGGTTTGTTTGATTTAATAATAGCTTCTCGTACTGATTACAATATAATTTTTACTATATATATTTTTTTATATTATTTTTACTATATAACAATCCATTTTTCTCCGTGTAGGTTACGGTTCGATGAATGAAGCGGATTTTTTTACTTGACTTGACGGTGTTCCTTTTTTTAATTTTTTCTCTAATTAAGATTATCTTATTATTATAAGATAGAAATTGTCCAACCCTCAGCCTTTTGGGTATTCAATTTTTTATGTCAACTCCTCAGATATTTCGATTTTACATCACTATATAAAAATCGTTAAATTTAAGCCTTTGTTCAAACAAAGAAAAAAATCCTTGCTTATATTATCCACAAGGATGGTGTTAAAATACTTATTTTCTTTATATGCTGAAATAATAGCATTTAACTATAGTTCCAGAACTGCTATTGTGGTCTTGTTCTCGAAAACAATGCAAATTTGGATAGGTATAGGTATCAGTTGTTGTTATATATTTCTAAGTAGGCAAAAATATTTATTATCTATGAATAAAATACTATAAAATGATACAAACTAACAGTAGAAAAACAAAGTCATGATTTGAGTATTCTTGATTTAGAAATACAATCAAAAAACTAAAGGTATCAGGTCAACTATAACAATACGCGAATAATTCCACATATACCTAATCCCTGTTTCAATTACATTCTCAATGTTAGACGAGACAAGGAATTGGCGATTTCATCTGCTGGCTTTGTCTTTTCAAAGTGTATAATGTAGTCTGGGTAACTATTTGAGTCTCGAAGTAAACATGGATGCAATACTTTTTTCGCAATAGCGCATGTAGGAATATTGGCTGATGGCAGATACAAATAACACAGGCTGGGTACTCTTCTTTCATCGCCGTTGTATTGGATAAATTCATCAACTTTAGATTCCTGTACAAAAGCAAATTCCCAACTCTCCTGAAACAATGTTACAAAATTTAGGAACGTTATACCATACCAGGTGTCTGGTGTCTACTTGAAATTCTGAACATAGCAAACTATTAGATTTGAAAGGGTGCAAGAAAATTAGCTACTTAAATAAACAAGACATGCAGTGCGAGTCCAGAAAACCGATCCAAAGCTACTGAATTTATTCCCTACGGAACTATCTTGCTACAAAGCTATGAAACGAAACAATAATCAAAACTTATCTATGGGATACATAAAATTAGCACTCTCAACCAACAGACAATGCATATAATAATTGGTTCTACATATCCAAATACGCGTAAGCAACTCGCACGAATGGAATGGCACTACCACTTTAGGTATATTTTACCATTGAGTGTGCTATGTATGTATAATATTGAAGTAGACACTCGATAGTGTAACGAACGTTCATCGACTCAATTGTTAGCCATATACATCTGTACGGTAATAACATAAACGATTCTCTAAACGTTCGTTACCTAATTTGCAGAGAATAGTAGGCCCTTAAGTAAATACTTACGGATACATCAATGTATGGGCCATTCTTCATTTTATAATGAGTTCTGTGTAATTGACATCGCATGTATAAAAAAGGTGCTTGGATCCTTTCAATTGCTACAATTTTGTATTTAACACCGTAATGTCGAATAAACTCATTTTTAATTGCTGTACACTCAACAGCTTCAATATCCAAGGGAATTCTTACAAACTTTTTGCTTGCATAGTTTTCTGTAGACCATGTGGATGGTTTAAATTCAGGTAAAAGATCACCGATCAGAGCCATTATCCCTAAAAAATGGCTAATAGAGTATCACCTTTTTTTCAAAATTTTGGGAATCACGAAATGTATGACTGTAGAAAATAATGTTTATGTAAAGATACTTGGTATACCAACAGAGCATATGTATGTGCAAGACAATACAGAGCGAGTTCTTTTTCATTTTCACACGAGTTTTTCGTAAACCGTAGGAGAAAGCTGCTTAAATGGCCAAGGTCATGCAGTTTTTCCTTTCAAAGTTTCTTGTAGCTGTACAAATAGCCAAGTTATGGCCAAAAAACCGAAAAAGGTCATTTTCTAAAATGCCCTGGCATTTATTTAGGTTCAAAGCTATCAAAAAATTTAAAAAATAAATAAGAAAGTTGATGTGATTTGCTCGAAACCCACAAGTCATTTTAGCGGGATCAGAAAAAATTACTACCTAATAGTTTATTAAAATTATTTTTTAATAAATAAACATGGCATATATTCGGAAGTAATCAAAATGTTCCGGTTTTCTTTACAGCATGTTAAAAACGCTTACTCGGTGTATATTGTGTAATTGTTCTTTGACTACCAAGAGAGTACAATACACAACAATAAAGTCTTTCATTCTTCATGAGAGATGTTTTAACACCTTATTTCCGACGAAACCATCACAATTCTTATATCAGAATATAAAATAGCAATACGAGGAGATATTTTTTTACTAATATCACGTTGAAATTGTTTTTTGGCTACAGGTGTAACGGGTAGTTACAAATTCATAACCGAAATGCCCGTTCATACTAACAATTTTGTGTCACACAAATATATCGCGTTCTATTAAATTTATGCCGTCGAATCTCTTCTAAAGAAATTTTAATTTACGGGATTATGTTTGAATTACAGGGTGTAAACTGTAAATGTCAAATGGCAAACGGAAAAATAATACCACAGCTTATTTTTTCTTTTGCAACTTTTAGCATAAACGTTAGTTACTCCCATCATGATATCAAATTGTTTTGTTGTTTTCCCAAAGAAAATTTGTAAATAACTGAAGATTTTGCTCTACCAACATAATCTCTGCCTTAACCTCGGCCTTAAAACTAAAGAGAGATGGCATACAGTTTAGGCCCTTACCATGAAATCGAATTGATTAGCGGATTGTGTAAACGAATGAAGATTGTGCTTTACTATTGACTAGGGGTATTAGTCCATGGCTTTACCAATTTAACCTCGACGTTAACCAATGGGAGACGTCACAAAATTTACATCCTCCCCATGAATTCAAGTTGGTATGTGATTTTTCCGACGATTCCAACTAATTTAATCTCGACCTTAATTACCAAATGAGCATAGAATTTTAGGGGTCCATGAAGTCAGCAGAACATTGGCTAGGTGGATTGGTGGGTGCTAGGTTTGTGCCGTGAAAATTTTGCCAGCAAAACACACCGTTTGGAAATTATTTCGATTTCTAGATGTTCTGCAAACTTCGAACACTTTTGTCGGCACACATTTCGGGACTAGGGAGATTGAGTGCCGTAAAAGTTTGGCTTCTTAGAAGATTATCACAATTTTTAGATATTCTTTCAGACGACTAACTTTAGCGCATTTGATTTTTACAATGTGCGATATACTTGTTCTTGCTGGAAGAATCTTTGATTAACATTTAAAAAAAAGTACAATTATTTTTTACTGTGACCACACTTTCACATCAACTTCCACGAAAAACCCTTCGCCCGTAGCTTTTTCAATCTCTCAATTGGTCATATTGTACCTCTTTGGTGTAGAGCTTGTTTTCTTAGCTGAATTATTGTACGCACACATACAGCATAGCCATAATGTTCATCGAAAATACTGATTACTATAACTGTCTTGATATATCACAAAATAAGATCGGTGCCCCAAGCTGACATTTTGGGTATTAAGATCAAGCTTAGCTATTCGACATTTTTTTTTGGCATAAATAGGGACTTGGGAACTAGGACCAAAGAGTAACCATAATAAGAGATTCAGCGGCATAGAGAATAGTGTTGCATAGGTATTGTGTGTTGCCTAACATATTTTACTGCTTTTTCTCAATTTTATTGGCGTACGCTACGCCTAAGGGGCTATTTCAAGGCAACTACTTGTTTAGAAGTTTATAAATATCATTGCAGAAATTGCAGCGTTGCCAAATGTTTAGTGTTTGCTTGTACTTATTTAGGTATCTATCATTCCTTGAAATTTATGATGTTTAGACCTATGTTATTCCATTCTATGATTCTACGCTTATGGCACAATTTACGTTTGTTGGTTTGATTCATAGGTGCGAAGATATGTTCTTCGTGTAACAATAAGCCGTTTTTGAGCGGTAAATAATAGATTTTTTTAGTGTGTATTGTGTATTCCCAGTAAGCGCGAGTAATAAGCTCGCTTTGATTACGTCTCTGCCCTTTGTACACACTGTTCGTCGCCCTACCGTCGACGGACGTATGGAAAAGTCGACCGCACTAGATCGTTTAGTTAGAGGAAGTAGTCTAACGAACGATATTTACTTCCGACTTGCGCGGAAATAAACGAATATTAAAAAAAAAAAGGCCGATACACGTTTTATAGCATTTATTGTACAAATATTAAGATAATGAAAGATTCCCGGAAAAAATGTTGCAATCACCTTTTAATTTTTGCCGGCCAAACTATAAACAATATAATAAATCCAAAATAAACTGCCTCGATTGGATTATAGTTGTGATCGAATGGTTCAAATCAGTTAAAAATGTGAACTGTGAACCAACGCAACCCCTGACGCAACCCCACCTCTTTAAAAATGGTTTCTTTGCGATAACTGAAAAACTACTTGACCGATTTGGACCATATTTTTTACCAGTCGATAATTGAATTGTTTAAATGAAAATAACGTGTTAATATTTAATTAAATTTATTCGACGGGTGCAGATTTATTAATTTATTATTTAACTGCACTATATATTTTGACTGATTATTGGATTAGACTGATGTTTTTTTTTCTGAGGACATAAGGATTATTGCATTGTAATGATTGATTTTTAATGATTAAACAACTCAGCGTATGTAGGCATCTATACAAAATTAAAGCAAACAAAATTTCCTGTAAAATAATCGCTATGCTCATCATAAAATCCAATTTTATGAAATATGTTGTCTACTTTAATTTGATTGTAGTAGACGATCTAAAAAGGATGGATAATAACAAATTTAATTTACATTTTCACAATTGTACCTGTTATTGGTTATTCAATGAAATAGTAATTACTGTCTATTCAATAGACGCCAACTAAACAGGAAAATACCAATGTAATTAACAATAGGTACTGAATCGTTGCTGATTTCTTTTATACTTAAGTAATGGTTTCTAATTATATCATGTCCACATTTTATAGAGCCAGTAAGAAAGAAAATTAAGTGTGACAACCGCGCAAATATTTTAAACCGAAATTTTATAAAGAATTCTGTATCTCTTATTATGGTTACTCTTTGCTAGGACTAGGGAATTGATTGATTGATCAATAGGTACCACTTTGCGCACAGTTTCAAAGTTATTGTCTATGGCTATGCAGTTGTAATTTGTTATTATTGGATTTAAACTATCAGAAGTAATATTATCTACAAATTTTTGTCAGTAATACCAGCTTATTAAAAATGATGAACAAAGGGCCCTACCCCGAGCCCTATGGAACTATGGAACAATTTCTTACGTCACCTACGGAGATGTTCCAGCATATTACATCACTCGACATATTTGCATTTTATTTGAAACGTTGACCGAAATCGTTAAAGATATCATTCAGAACAGAATTCATAATTCTTAGTTATATTGAGAAAGATAGCTTTAAACTACTGATCGTTTTCATATGCTGAAATAAAGGCATTTGCTAATACCAAACTGACAGTCTTGCGCTATTTTAGGAATTTTTCAAAAATCTTCGACATGGTTTGCAACACAGAGATTGGCTTAAGGTACGAGCACGAATAAGGACTAAGTAGGTCGACTATAAACAATATTTATTGTCCATGAATACATTTCATTCTGAATTTAGAAATACAAAAAAAAGGTGTCTCTACAACTAACAATACTTTACACATGTAATCCTTGCTTCAATTACATTTTGAGTGTTAGACGAGAGAAGTAATTGGCGATTTCATCTTCAGGCTCTGCCTTTTCAAAATGTATAATATAGTCGGGGTATCCATTTGAGTCTCGCTGTAAATATGAATGCCCTTTTTTTGCAATAACACATTTACACATCTCCAGGTTCTCTGAAAGAAAATACAAGGAAAGAAAGCGAGGTACCCTTCTTTCATCACAGTTGTATTGGATTAATTCGTCAACGCTAGGCTCCTCTGCCGGAACAAATGTCCAACTTTCCTAAAACAATATCTTACAAAATATAGAAACGTTATACCGGGTGTCTACTTCAAATTCTGAACTCAGAAATTAGTACACTATCACTCTACTCTCATCTTTTTTGGATAGGCTACATAACAATGCTCGCGCGAGTGGAATGACACCACCACTTGTATATTTTACCATTGAGTGCGCTATGTGTACATACATTGAAGTAGACACTCGATAGACCTACACCATTAATAAGTCTATTCTGTAATGAACGTTCATCTACTGAATCCGATTGAGTAAATTGAGTCAATCGTTATTCATGTATGCACACGGTAATAAACGATTCTCTGAACGTTAATTTTTAGAGAATAGGCCTTTAAGTAAATACTTACAGATGCAGGAAATGAAAAATTCTTTTCATAATTAGTTCTGTGTAATTGATAACGCATGTATAAAAAGGGTGCTTGGACCCTTTCAATTGCTACAATGTTGTATTTAGCACGGTATCGTTTAATAAACTCATTTTTGATTGGTATGCACTCAACAGCTTCAGTATCTACGGGAATTCTTACAAACTTTTTGTTTGCATAGGTTTCTGTAGACCACGTGGATGGTTTAAATTCACGTAAAAAATCACTGATGAGAGCCATTATTACCTAAAAAATGAGTAATACATTATCTTTCAAATGTTTT